AAGAGATTAAGTCTTTCTTCCATACTGTGATTCTTCCCTGTACCTCCAAGGAGAAGTTAATACAGAAGAATCGTCAGCAATACGCATTGCAGGAGGCGTATTTACGTGCCTTTTCTTCCTCTGCTGTCGCTCTTGCAATGGATGAGTCCACCATATTGAGACACTGGGTGGATACTGCTCTTCGCTGCATCCGAAACACACTTAGTGGGGCTCTCTCCCTTACAGGGCTTGACTTTTTTACCGCTATATTCCTTTCAAGGCGAGCTATTGCGCCTCTTTTTGTTCCAACGTACGTGGCATTGATGATCCCAATCAAAAACAAAACACGTTATGGCGAGCCATCATTGTTTTTGGTGCGTCATTTTGCAAAGGGTGTGCGGGCAACATGTCAGGCACTCGAAGAATGTGATGAGCAGATACTGGCAGGGATGATGCAAAACCCAAACTCATCTTTAAAAAAATTTCTTTTGGAAATTTATGGGGAGGGAGACGCCGCACCATCTCTGGATAATGTGCGACCTATCAGTTGTGTTCTTCTTATTGTGTCAGCGCTCTTTGACAAGGTTTGTCTTATTCTTGGCCACACTGCGAAGGCACAAACCGCCATCGCCACTGCCTCCAGGCAAGAACGGATTGCACGTTTCCAGGCGTATTTTTCCGCACTTATTAATTTGCTGCGGTGTCGCTCGCGCCCTGTGCTTCATCGTGTGTGCGCCTCAGTAGAAGCCGTCATACTGGAGCACCTGCACGGTGTTCCGAGGGCTCAGTTGCAGTGGATGAAGTACACCACAGCTACGGTGGACTTAATTGAGGGAACGGGTAAAAAAGAGTTGGTGGAATGGCTTCTGATGTTGGAGGAAAAGGCAAGAGGTTCCATTCCCCATTCTCAACTCTAGCTTGTCATTTGGTGAAGGGGGAGGGGTGTTGAAATGTGTGAGGCAAAAGAAAGGGGGTGAGAGATCAAGAGGCCAGTAGTGAATTATGTGGCACTTTGTGTTGTTGTTTCAGTTGAAAATCCCAGTGTGTCTTTAGGAAGCGAGGGTTCATTGACCTTCCTCGCCCGAAAAACGGCAAATTATGGTGCACCGTGTGAGCGATCGTAGCGCTCTTATATATATAATAATAATAATAATGTGTGTGTTGGCGATTTCTCCTGCGAGTGGGGTGAAATCCCTTTATTCGAGGGGTGAATGCAACAAGGCTCTGTTTCCTTCCTCTATTCCTTTTTGACGCTTGTCATATTTTTTTGCCAATGACTATATATATTTTTTTCATGACCTTATTATTATTTTTATGTTCATGCCTATGGGATTTTTTTGCCGTCTTTTTTTTTTTTCTTTTGAGGAGGCATTGCATTTGTGTCAGCAGGCGATAGGGCGAGGCTCCGTCTCTTTGAAATTCATGCTAAAAAGGAGTGGCACCATTCGCTCATTGCAAAACGTTTTCTGGGGAGCAGCAAAAATCGCGGCGGCAATTGTTGATGCCAGCGTGGGAAACGTGAATGTTGTGGACAACAGCCATAACGGTGATGGAGAGACGCCCGCTCGTGCCGCTGGGCGGAGCCACACCCCGTCGCCTCCCGAGGTACTGCCGAGGAGTGTGGTTACTCAGTTGCATGAATCCAAGGACGACTTAAGGAAAAATGCTGTGTATATGTCTGTGCCTTCTACACGTATTACTAGAGCCGCTGGATTTGCGTCGCTGTTTGTGCAGCTTGGTTGGGATCATCTTGTGGAACGCAATGGTGAAGGTATTTTGTCGAGCCAAAGCCACAAACGTGTTGTTAACACACTGCGTCGGATGCGTGGGGTGGTGTTGAAACTTGGGCAGATGCTCAGCATCCAGGACCCTGCCACTGTTCCTCAATATGTGTTGCAGCTATTTGAGCAGGTACGTGACAGTGCCTACGCTATGTCGCGCGAGCAACTTGATCAGACTCTGGCGAAGGAATACGGAAATATTAATTGGAGAAAAGATTTTTTTGTGGAGTTTGATGATGAACCCATTGGCGCGGCCAGTATTGGACAGGTACACCGTGCAACCATCAAAGGAGAGGGCGACACAAAGATTGAGCATGTTGCCGTGAAGGTGCAATACCCTGGTGTTGCAGCCAGCATTGATTCGGATATTGCGAATCTGAAAATGCTGATTTCTTTGCATCTGCTCCCTCCAGGAATGTTTGTGGACAGAATTTTGCAGGACCTCCGTCAGGAATTTTTGTTGGAATGCCGCTACAAGATAGAGGCAGCAAAGCAGGTGCGGTATGCCGCTCTAATCAAGCAGGAACCAGAATTGCAAGAGGTGTTTGTTGTCCCAAAAGTTTACGAGTTCCTCTCAACAGAAAACGTGTTGGTGACGCAGTTTGCTACCGGTATTCCTGTTGACCGACTGGCGAACATTTCAGGTGTGCAGGATCTCAAGAATTACGTGGCTGAGCGTATGCTTCTGCTAACACTTACCGAACTTTTCCGCTGGCATTTTATGCAAACGGATCCAAATTACGCCAATTTTTTGTTTGATGCAGAGAAAAACAAAATCAGTCTTATTGACTTTGGTGCGGCCCGTGAGTACAGCGAGGAGTTTGTCAAGGACTACATGGATGTTGTTGCCGCGGCCGCTCGTCAGGACCGTGAAAAAATCATTGAAAAGAGCATCAAGTTGGGTTTTCTCACCGGGAATGAGATGAAGCCACTGTTGGATGCACATGCCGCCAGCGTGGAGCTGCTGGGAAGACCGTTTCGGCACCACGACAAGCCGTTTGACTTTTCAGCAGAAAATCTTCCCTCAAAGATTCAGGAACACGTGCCAACTATAATTAAGCTACGGTTACGCCCACCTCCTACGCCGGTGTATTCGCTCCATCGACGGATTAGTGGGATTATACTGTTGGCCACGAAACTAAAAGCCACTGTCAATTCGGGAGAAATGTTTTGGAATATTTATAACAGCTGCAGGGCAAAATATGAGTGATTCAGAATTTTGTTGTTGCTGTTGTTGTTGATATTTACTTTTCTCTGCATTTCTGTCCGTGTTCTCTGTGTGATCAAATTAGAAAAGCATGCAAATTTTTTTTTTTTTTTTTTCGTTACGTCACACATGCACATTCATTTACGCACTCGCTCTCTTTTCTTTCTTTCTTTTTTTTTTTTCCAGCGTGGCTGCGTGGGTTATGTCTGCTTCCCGTGTCTTATTGGCTTTTTTGTTGCTTTTTTGTTTTCCGTGTTTTTCTTCGGGAAGCCTGTGGCTTTTGGTGTGTAAGGGGTGGAAAAGGAGGAAGGGAACGCCTCTCTTGCCTTCCCAGACCGCTTGTAAGAATTGTGGCGAAGAAACCAATTTCAGTGATTTACAGTGCTGTTGTTCCCTCACTGTACAGGACGCACAGGCAAGAGTAGAAGGTTGAAGCGCCTAGGTTTGTTTAGATTTTTGGTAAAATAAAGTGAGAAGAAGGGAAGAAGTGAAAAAGAGGAACTACACGAGACCAAAGCAAAAGGGAAGTGCCTGTCTGTCTGTGTGTCTGCGCGTGTGGAGTTTTGAGGTGAAGGAAAAGGGGGGTGGGGGAACAGGGGAAAAGGAGGCAACATGCAACAGTCACTTAAAAACCAGGAGCACATATGGGCCGTGCTTCAGAAGATGCGGATGGAGATGAATGAGTGCTTCGCGGAGCATGAGAGAATGCTTCGACTGGCGCACGGACAACTAAAGGAGCGTTTAGACAAAATTGAGTCTGCTTTTGTCGCCCGTAACGGCGGAGTCGGACAACTTGTGGGGAATTCTTCAAGCAGCCTGGGGCATCTGGACCACGCCACGCCCGTATATACGCGGTTTGTTTCCGACAAAAAAGGGAGTCCGGCGGGAATGCGCGTCACGATGCTCTCCACACCACCCAATGAGCGGATGCAGCTTATGCCCCCGGATTCCCGTGGGGCGAGGAGTGACGTTTTGCCCCAGCCAGTAGATCCCACAGATTGGGTAGCGTTGGCGGCCCCCAGCCGTCAAGAAGCCACACCGGCGGTCTCCCCGCATAACCGGTGGACCAACGATGATTCGATCCATGCTGAAAAAAACCCTTCTGTAGATGCCACCTGTTTTGAGGCGCTCAACAACTTAATGAATGATGACGATTTTCAGCATTCCGCGTTGGAATCTGTGATTCCATCTTACACTCAAGATGACGACTCAAAGCAGTTGCAATGTCAGCCGAATTTAGGTACATACACGAAGAAGAATGATATTATCCACATGGGGGCACCAGGCTCTTCGCAAACTCAGCACTTTACGAAGAGTTTAAAGGTTACATATATGGATGGCCGCCCGCAGGCTGTGCCTATTCCAGATGGACCTCCGGATGAACCGGATAAATTGGGCATCGATGTTAACGCTCAATGTAAGGTTTTGGTTGAATTTAAGCGAAAGCGTGTACTGCAGTTTGAGTCAAAGGAGTACGTTCCGCCCGGCAGCTACGTCATGGTGGGTGGCGACCGCGGTGAGGATCTTGGGCTTGTAACATACACGTGGTGTGAGACAACGAAGTCCTTAAAAAGCGAACTTGGTGAATTTGGCAACGGCAGCAACAAAACCGTTGTTTTGTGTGTTGGGCTTACCGGTAGTACTCTCACCCGCAGTATTGGTCTTGGTGCAGGCACTGTGTTGCGACTTGCAGATGATTCCGATGTGAAACAGTTGCATACTGTGCAAGTGGAACTTGAACGACGTGCCATCGACGTCTGTTCCCAGCGTGTCCTCGAGCGTGGGCTGCCCATGACCATCGTGGACGCCGAGTACCAGTTTGATAAGAAGAAACTTACATTTTTTTACGAGGCGCAACAAAGAATGGACTTTCGTGAGTTGGTGCGGGATCTTTACAAATCGTTCCGCGCAAGAATATGGATGGAGCTGGTGGAAAACTGAATGAACTGAATTGAATCTTTTATTATTATTATTATTATTATTAAAATAATATATATTACTTCTTTTTAACTTCACTCGTCATTTCACGTAGATAACTTAAGACAAGAACGAGAATCAAGCGGAAAAAGAAAAAAAAAGAAAGAAAAACAAAAAAAAGAGAGAGAGAAGATGCATGAAGATGATGTCATTCACGCAAACCAATAGAGGATTCAGGGCAAAACCAACAACAGCGAGGAAACAACAATGAGAGATAGGGAGAGAGAGAGAAAGGGGAATGGAGGTAGGGGACAGAAGTCATGTGCACGGACTTTTGCAGGAGGGTCTGGGGATCGATGGCCGTTGGTGGCCCTCCAAATTTGCTCCATTTATTTCTTTATTTTATTTTATTTTGATTTTATTTAATTTATTATTATTATTTTTTTTTTTTGTGTGTACGTGTTTTATTCGATTTAATTCCCCCCAGCGCAGCGTGGCGAGAAGGTGGCGGGGAGAAGTAATATATATTATATATTATATATGTATAAGAGGAGAAGCAGAATACAAAAAAAAAAAAGAAAAAAAAAATAAATAATAGAAAAGTGACTAGGAGCATGCGAGTAAAATACGGCAAGCAACATCCCACGGGAAAATAATCCCCGTTCTTTCACCCTATTTTGAAATTATAACAAAAGAAAAAAAACGAAAAAAATAAGAAAAAAATAGCAGGTGAAAAAAAAGAGTAAACATGTGATGTCACTATGGACACACACACACACACACACACGCACAGAGAGGGAGAGGGAGAAGGACGCAGACCTGTTTTTTGGTTAGGTGTACATCACTTTGCTAACAATGGAATAAATGACTATGGCGGAATATGTTTGAGTTTTTTTTTTCTTTTTTTTTCTCCTCTCCTTGCGTATGTACGCTTAATTATGTGTTGTGCTGTTGGTTTGCCTTTTCTTGTTCTTTTCCTTACTTGGTTCTACTCCTTGTTGATGGGGAGGACACATCGCTGTGGGCACCGAGGGAAAAGGAAAAAGGGAAATAATAATAATAATAATAATAATAATAATAATAATAATAATAATAATAATAAAAGAGGGGAGCAGACAAGAAATAAAACAGCAGTAGTACTATTTAAGTCCGAAAGAGGCGCGAACGAGATCGTGGGAATGAAATGAGGAGAAGAAGTGAAAGAAGAAATGTGTGGCTAAAGAAATTGAAATATTGGGTACTCTTTGATCGTCTCTATTGCATACCACGGAAATGCTGGAATGCGTTCTTTTTTTTTTGTTTTTTGTGTGTGTGTTTTATTTGTCTCTGTGTGTGTGTGGGGGGGGGGGTTTACACAGAAGCTGAGGGGATGGTGGCGCGTCTTGTTTAACTTCCCTGGATTTATTTATTTATATGATTTTTTTGTTTGTTTTCAACGATGGCGCTTTGGAGGGCATTTGAGTGCAGCTCTTTTTTTTTTTTTTTTTTTTTTCTTCTTTTCTTTTGTTCTTTACTTTCTGCCACCTGTCCGCTTTTTCAAACATCTGCACCGAGAGGGGGGTTGGCGCTTGCGGGACCGGAAAGGCTTCCATTTTGATAGTTCCCAACGAGCCCAGTTATCGTGGCGTATGTCTTTTGAACCCATTTGTTTATGGGCGCATGTGCGTTGGATAATTCACATTTTAAAGAGAGAATGAGGGAGTGAGAGAGAGTGTGTGTGTGTGTGTGGGATTTTGAGTGTATTGAGCCAAAATATCATCTTCTCTTTTTTGTGTTTCTCCCCTTTTTGTGAGAGTTGAGGGAATTGGGCCTCGGCCAGGAGCAATTATTTCTATTTCCATTTCTATTATTATTTCTTGTTTATATTCCTACACGCATGCACGCAGAGAGTGTGAGTATGCGTGCGTGTGTATGTATGGTCTTGTAATGGAGTTTTATTTATCTTTTTATGTGTAGGAAGTTTTGTTTTTTCTATTTTTTTTTTTTTCTTTTTTTTTTTTTTTTCCATTACCTTTGCACCACAAGAGCTGATAAATCGTATATTTCTATGCGCATGTTAGTTTGGAAGCGTCTCTGTTGTTTTTATTTTTGTTTGTTTGTTTGTTGTTGTTGTTGTTGTTGTTTTTATTGGAGACACTCTCAATACGTATTTCTCCTTTGGTGCCTTCTGACCGTTTGCCACCATTTAGCCCGCAGGCGGTTGTTGTTATGGCGGTGAGGCAGGTCGGAAATTTTTATTTCAATCCTTTAAAAAAAAAAAAAATTCTCTTTAATTCCCGCTTTTAAACGTCATGAATATATTATACATATATATATATATATATATATGTATTACTCTTCTTTAGGCTGTGTTCACCGACTATTTGTGTGTCTGTGCTTGTCTGTGCGTGTCTGTCTGTGTGTGTCTGTGCGTGTGTGTGTGCGCTCGAGAGGCCGTGGTTTTGTAAACATGGTTCAGTTCCGTAATGATTTTTGATGTTTCATTCTTTTTGTTTTGTTTTTGATATAATTTATTGTTATGTTTTTTTTTTGTTTTATTATTATTGTTGTTTATTATTTATTATTATTATTCGTGCTCTGTTTCTCTTTTATAGTCAGTACGGTAGCTTATTCCCCGTGGCTTTAGTGATCCTTATTGCCATTCTCCATCTCAAATGGCGTCTCGCGCGTGGGTGGACGATGCGGATCGCGATGTGGAGGAGCAGCTGCCTGACTTTGTGAAGCAGTCGCATGTGCTGCCCGCATGGGCCACCGTCTCGTCATCGTCCAAATTGATGATGGCAGCTCAAAAGCGTTTCCGCGACGAGGACTTGGACGAACTTCTCGCGCGGACGGAGCCACTGCTGACATCGAAGCACGACCGAAAGTATGCTGCTCTTCCACCCGTGCTCTCCGTGCTTCCACTTCCGCGTGACTCCGCACGGACGGTTCAATGGCATCGCAACGGGCAGCTGGCGGTGGTGGGTGGCAATCACCACTTGTATCTTTTTAATGCCGCCGGCAGGTTTGTGGAGCAGCTTTCCAAGACAGATGTGGACAAGCGAATCGAGTGCACCGCTCTTGAGGCCTCGGGGGAAGACGTCTTGATTGTGGGGCACCAGTCCTACACACCAGATCTATTGGTGCTCTCAACGGAGAAGCTAATCCCGCTGAAGTTCCTTTTTACCCGCGACTCTGCCGTATATCGCAATGGCCGACGTGATAATGGCAAGCATGACTTTTACATCACTAATGTCGCTTTGCCGGCAACCAATTCTTCCGCCAGGCTAGTGGGTATATCAAGCGGAGCCACCGTGACGGTTGGATCCTTGTCGTCTGGCAGCGTCACCCACCGCATCGAGATGAGCGATCCAGTGGTGGGCATCCTCTTTTCAGGAGGCCCACATGAATTAACCGTCGCGACTCGTAATAAATTGTCGGTGTTTGATTTACGCAAAAGTGCCCAGTTTCTGCGTGAAACTTGTGATGACGGCACTGTAGACATCACAACATTTGCAACCTCTGACTCTGCCTTGGCCGTGGGCTCAAAAAGTGGTATTGTTAGTATTTACAACAAGGGCTCTTCAGGACCTGTGAAGATTCTCAAGAATTTGACGACAAGCATCAGTCACTTGGCATTTGGAGAACGCAGCAACGGTGACGCCATCATTGCATACTCTACCAAGGGCCAGAAGAGTGGATTTCGTCTCGCTGCTCTCCCGGAGTGCCGTGTTGTGCCGTCTTTTCCCCCTATTTCGCAGAGGCATCAATTTATTCAGAGTCTCACAATAGCCCCGACCATTCCCGTGTTGTCTGTTGGTGAAAAGCAGAAGGTCACGAACTACGCATTGTGACCGGGGGGAGAAGACACCCAGACAAAAAAAAGAATAAAAAGCAAAGAGGGAGGGAAAAGAATGCATGCCGTTTAAGACGTTTTTAAACCCACGGGGAGCAGGGAACTGAATCACGGGGGAAAAAAGCGAGGAAAAAAAAATTGAAGGGAAATTTAATAAGAAAAATTTGTTGTTGTTTTGGCTATATTATTTTTCTTTTGGCCTTTTCTTCAGTGGAATCAGGCTGGTTAAAATGTCAAGGATGTCGTCTCTCATTGTTTCCCCTTGTATGCGTCTTTGCTTGTTTCCTTGTATTTAAAGAAAGTAGCATGTTTTTTCTTACACCCGTCGCCGTGCTTCGTTCATTGGTGTCGTGTTTCTTTTTTTTTTTTTTTTTTTTTTTTTGGGTTGCGCACGCGTGTGTTTGATTTGAACCGAGAAATCGTGTGTTGATTTATTTTCTTAAAAGTGTGTGAAGAAAAGAAAAGGAAGAGGCGTTTGCCTTTATCTTTGCGATGGTACAAAATAGAAAACGGAAGACGTCCAAAGCAGGTGATGTCCCCATGCGTATTGCACTGAACTACGAAACAGTTCTTCCGCTCGTGTTTGTGGATAATATGGACGAGGTGCGGGCCAAATACAAACCCTACAAAATCATTGAGGAGGGACTGTCTGACGATAGTACAGATGACGAGCATACGGTTTCAAAAAGGCGACTAGCTACCTCTCAACCATCGAGAAAACGAAGTAGGGTGCCTTCTACAATTGATGCGGTTGCCAAAGGCTTTGCTTTGCCTTCGGCTCGTGTGGGCTGGGGGGCGCAGGCGTTGCGCGAAAGCACTCCATATGGATTATTACGGCGCCGTGATCTCTTTGATCGTTGCTGCTACATAATGGACCTTGAGGACCACGTGTGGTGCCATGAAAAAAAGGTCCCTATTCCTTTTTTTGTTGATGCAATCACAAAGCTGGAGAGGAAATATGTTATGCATCTTGAAGCTGCAGCTCGAGGGAGTGAAGCGCCGACAAACGTGGATGTTTTTAATGGTGCTCATAATAATAATAATAATAATAATCTTTACCTGTCGGGGGAAAATAGGGTGGAGTTATGTGGTGTGTGTTCGCTACCGGAGCTTTCCGAAGAGTCTGAGTGTTTTCTTCATTGTAGACGATGTGGGTGCCAGGCACACGTGAAGTGTTGGATTTTAGAGGCTTTACCACCGAATGCAAAAAGCTGGCTTTGTCCATGCTGCGTAGTGGCGCGACGTGAGAAAGGCGTCGGGCGTTGCCATTTCTGTGGGCGAAAGGGTGGTGTGATGCTGCCGTTTGTTTCGGGTGTTGGGTGGAAAAGCGAGAGTTCCGTTGGGAAATCCCTTTTCTGTCACATTGTGTGTTCTCTTGCTCTTGAGGAGTTGGCCATTGATGCGAAGAAGCGTGTGGTGCATCCCGTAAAGCGTTCAAGGAAGTCCAATCATTTGGCTCGTTGTGTGTTCTGCAACAGTGAGAGTGCGGGGGCGTGTGAGAGATGTCATCATCCTCGTTGTTTTGATTCGATGCACCCTTCTTGTGCACAACAGGCCGGCACCTTAGAGTGCTACCGGGCCCCGCATGCCATAAGTGGCACTGGCCCATGGGATGGATGTCGCTTGTATTGCCGTGCGCACTTTGGAGTGGTGGTGGAATCACCGTCAGGTTTTGCAGGAATAGGGGAGTTTGCAGAAGCCGAAGCCCTTCGCCATGTGAATTTTGCAGACTTTGTTGACGAGAAAAGACCCGTGCGGAGGGGAAGACCCCCGAATGCCAGAGTTACGCCGGCTGCTTTGGATGCAGTCAAAAAGTATTGGGTTAAAAAGCGTCTGCAACGGCTTCATGATGGTGTGAAGATTGTGGAAAACGTTCAAGGAGGCCGATGTGATATTGTTTCTGTGTCACTTCGACCCGAAATCATGAAGATCACGCCAACAGAGGTGCGCCTTGCACGTTTTGTTTGTCTCATACCGGAACTACAGCATCATATTAATGCCAGCGTTGAGGGAGTGTTGCCCATTCCTGACGAGGAGTACGATGACGTGGAGGAGTACAGGAAGGCTCACTCCCGCACCCGCTACGCAGGTAACACACGGAAACTCTATGAAAAGATGCAGTCTGTTGCTTCTCATATTAATGTTTTTTGTGAGCTTGCAGAATTGCTGCACCAACGTGCCGTGGTGTGGCGGGAGTTGTTGGAGACAGATCTACAGGTTCTGGAGGCGCGTTGTCACTGGGGAGCCGAGGCAAATTAACGATTGGGTGGTTGACTGGATTCGCTTGAAAGAAGGGCCGTGCTGGAAGCAGGCAAAAAAAAAAAAAAAAAGGAAGGGGGAAGTGAAAAAACGACGGAAGACCGGCACATTTTCATTTATTTATTTAACGAGTGCAGGATGAAAACGAGAACCGACGTTGGAATTGCTGCAAGAGGATTATGGGCTTATAGAAGGAATGTGCGCTCCTATGAGGCCGAATAAATGAGTGAAAGACTTGTGTATCGAAAGACCCTGTTTTTTTTTTTTTTTTTTTTATTTGCCGTTTTTGATTATATATATATATATATATATATATATATATATATATATATTTCTACAGAACTTGAATTTCTTTCTTTGTTTTTTTCTAAAGCTTTTTTGGGGCAAGAAACGGGGACTGGAGAAGGGGGTGACGAAGGCGATGAGGGTGCGAACTTATCACCGACACCGCGTCAACCGGAGCAGCCCCCTCCTTGCCGCACTTTTAACCATTAACTCGGCATACTCACTCTTTTTTGCCGTGCCTGTTGTTGCGGTGTCCCTACGAAAACGCTGGAATGGCGGGATTACTTCGAGTCAGAAGACATGGTGTGTCTGCATTGCAGTCTTGTGGTTTGTGGCAGAGCTCTTTCGTCTGTATTTTGGCTACTTTGGTAACCAGCAGCAGCACTTGCCATGCCTTTTTCGGTTTGTCGGATTAACATTGTTGCCTCAACTTCCAGTCGTGATTATTTTCAATGCTCTGTGGCCGCAGCGGGACTCGCTTGACTACGCCCTTAGCGTTACGATGCTCATGCTACTTGTGGCAGAGTTTTTGTGCTCAGTTAATCTAATACGAATACTTGTAAAAAACAAACAGGTGGATTTCTTTGTCTATAGTGGGCAGTTGTCACGCGAGGAACGACACTTTTAGAATTGACGTCTCCACTCTGGTCGAGCAACGGTGCTTGCTCATTATACGTGTATGTATGTATATATATATATATTAGGTGGGGAGTGCGAGTTTGTCGGTCTATCTTGAGAGAGATGGAACGTGGATCCTGTTGCTGTTTGATGGAGATGGTTGACGGGGGCGGGGGTCCTAATTTTTCACAGTGGCGTTGGCTGGAGGACATTCTTAACTGGGGAAGCTTTTGCTCTTTGCAGGATCACTCGAATGGATGTGCATGTGCAGTTCCCAGTTTATGTCCACAGGGCGGAGTGTGGGTGTATTCTATCGCCTAAATTTTGACGTTATTTGGATGTATTATTATTATTATTATTATTATTATTATTATTATTATTATTATTAATTTCTTTGCTATTGCTAGCTGCAGGATACCTCCTTTCTTTTTTTTTTTTTTAAATCTCTTGTGCTCTCGATTGGCTAAATTGAAGGGGAGGCGGTCGCGCGGTGAGATTCTCCCTTTCTTTCTGTGCATGTGCGCGCGCAAGAAATGCTGAAGGAGCATAGTTTGACTTTGCGCGAGTTGTTTGACAAAAGCTGCCCGTACATTGAGGACCGTGATAATTTTGTGGCATTATTTGCTCTCCGTGCACACCCATTCTACAGAGCGTTTGCCATTGTTGGTGCCAACGCGGATGCTGCCGTGCGGGTAACTCGATCACGCATGAAAGCAGCTCTGCGTGCCATGGAGGAGTGTAACCCCGCCATTGCTGACTTGGAGGGTGCCCTTCTTATGCATGAGGCAGAGTTGCTGTCGGCATCCAACACGATAAAAGATCTTCGATCCTCCATAAAAGAGGCGCAGGAGAAAGTGGAGAAAAGTGAGAAAAGCGTGTGGAATGCATTCTTCTTGAAAGGGGAAGAAGGGAAGGAGCGGGAAATGCGTTATACTTTGTCCGCAAAGCCCAACCTGCAGTTCTTGGAGCATCTTGAGGCGGCGCTTGAAATACTTGAAGGCACCGTGGGTCGTTGGCGACTACGTCTGGCACTTTGCAAAGAAGAGCTGGCGTTGTATAAGCAAGAGATGTTTACCTTTGGACGGGCAGGTGTGCTCTCCTGTTCAGATCCTGGAAAGGAACGAGAAGGGGACGATGAAAGGCCCCTCTTAGGGGAGAAGGGCAACAGGAGCGATGACGTTACAAAAAAAAACATGTTCCCTCCAAGAGAGGAAGGAAAACGGGACTCTCCTGTCGGGGTGGTGTATGTTGTGGATCGTGTAATCAAGAAGGCGGCGAGGAAGGTAACGGAAGCTCCACTGCATCAGGGTGTGCATTTATGGTCATTGATGTCCGGTGGCCGGGGGGTGGAGGCTTTTCGAGGGCCATCCTCCGCAGATGCGGCCACTCCGCAGTTTGTTTACAGTGCAGAGGAGGAGAAACGACTTACTGAGGCGAATCTTGTGCTTCAGGATCAACAAAAGGCAGCCTCTGCGGAGGATGCCAAGGCGGTTGAAGCCTCCGTGCGTGAGCTGTCACAACTGACCTCCCTAATGAATGAACAGGTTGTGCAGCAGAACGAGCAGTTCTCTATTCTTCTTAAAAACACAGAGACGGCACATAATAACATGCATAAAGGAGTGATAGAAGTCCAGAAAACGTTATCCAAATTTTGGAATTCCACGCGCCAACTCATTTTGTGCCTCTGGGTTAGCACTCTGGTTTTGCTTGTTGCCAACAGGATCATCCGCTAATTAATTTATTGTATTGGGGGGTGATGGAAAAGGGGAGAAAGCAAGTCAAATGTGCGTGTCTGTATGTCTGTCGAATGAATGGGAATAGGGCTTACTTCTTTTGGATGGCAGAGGTGTCATTCATGCTACAAAATACTAATATTAATAATAATAATAATACGCTTGTGCATTTGTAACGTGAGGGTCTCTTTTTTTTTTTTTTTTTTTTTTTGGATTTTCTCCACGATACTTTTTTTTTAAAAACTCTTTACGAAGGGCCAAGGTGAGGTGTGTTTCTTCTCGTACACCGGATATTGAATGGCAATGCCGCTGTCGCACAGAAGTGTCAGCGCCAACGTCCCTGTTGTGCGTAGTCTGGCGATAGTCCTCCGTGCGTGTCCACCACTCTCTTTTCACTTTTTCAAGCGTTGGGGGATGCATGATTTCCATACATCGAAATGGACGCGCCTAAATCCGTCCGCTAAGACAAAACGGACACTTCTTGGTCGTAGTTGTATTGATAAGCCGACAATGGACATGGTATCCGTGAGCCGATATGGGGGTAATACACGGCGGGAGACGCTAGCAACGGCTTTTCGTCTGTATCGCAGCATGGATCAGTCTGAAAAGGCGCGAGAGGCCGGACAAGAGGCGCTTCGTGCAATTCAGTTTACAGACTTTTCTGTGGACGAGGAGGAGGAGGAGGATCTAGCGGTTGACTTTGCTTGCTTGTATCTGAATGCCTGTGTTTTGTTTGGCGTCGCGCCCACGCAGGAGATGATGTCGCAGCTGTTGAGTTGGCTCTCAAAGTCTCTTTATAGCTCGTTCCACTGGGAGTGTGTTCTGTGCGCCCTTGCCGTGTACCTGCGGCCCTCGGAGAAAACGGCGACGGCTGCAGCGACTGCAGCAGCGTTTGTCTGCATGATTCGTGGGGCCGAGGTGGGCACGGTGCCCGGGAGTCTTTCGCGCGACGGGAAGACCCTGCTGTTAATTGTCATTAACCGAGCGATCGATGTTTTTCTGCGAGCAAATGGGAGGGCGGAGGACCGTCAACATCTCCTAGAGGTGCAGCTGCAAACCATGGAACTGCTGTGTCCCACCACACCGACGCCAACGGCAACATCACCGACTTCCTTGAGGGAAGAGCGGCTGACACTGGTGGACGCCATCTGTTGGCGCTACGCCGCGGGTGTTTCGCTCCCCGTCGCGGCGAAGCTGGTGCCATTGCTGCAGGTCAAAACCCACGCGGGGCTGGAGGAGTTGTCAGTGTCGCAGTGTGCCAGGCTGTTCTGCGCTTTGTGCATCGCGCTCGCGACACAGGACTCTTCTGGAACAGAATGGACTTTGGAACGGCATTCCCATGTTCTTGACCCCATTGTGCGACATCTTGACGAACGCGTCCGCGTGCACTCGGTGGATGACGTAGTGATTTTGTTGGTGGGACTGCAGGCAAATAGGATGGCGCGATCACGGTACAAAAAGCTTCCTTCCGCGCTGCTTGATCACCTTAGAGAACAGCAACAGCAACAACGATTCCGGCAAAATCAAGAGGCGGATCAGGTGTCTACATCCTTGAAGGGTGACGACAGCTTGCTGGCTTTGTCGCATGTGCTTTCGCAGTTAGCAATGGATGCTGAAGACGCGTTGGCCGATGCAGCAGAGACATTTTTAACGGATTTGGTTTTATAAACACTTGACGTGAACTGTACAAAATGAAACATGTTCACACAGAAACACACAGAGTGAGAGAGAGAGGGAGTGAAAGATGATGGGGGAAGGGGGGGGAAAAGACTCTTTCTATTCTCATTTTTGGATTCTGTGTGTATCGTTTTTTTTTTTTTCTTGTGTGTGTATATCTTTTTTGCACGTTGTAGTGGGTAGTAATTTTGTGGTTGCCACTTGGCGGTTTTTGTTTTTTTGATATCGGTTCACGCGGCGACCCGAGTTAAAGTTAGGTAGTGTGAGGCATGACCGAGCAAAGTGTTTCGTTTCTGCCTGGGATGCACTGCATGTGCAATCATCCTCAGCACGCGTGGGTGCCAGGCATCATTGACAGCTTTGACGGCAAGCACGTGTCTGTCAGCACCATGACCCCTGCGAAGGAACAGGTGTCAAAACTTCTTCCGGATGACGTATTTGTGTGCGAAAAAAACGTCGTGGACGAAGACGTTCACGATCTTTTGAATCTTTCCGTGCTGCATGAAGGAACGCTTTTGAACTGTCTAAAGAGCCGCTACTTTCGTGACGTGGTGTATACAAACATTGGAGCGATTATATTAGCACTCAATCCCTTTAACTTCAACATTCCATGGTACATGGAGAACAAGATGGCGGATTACCTTGCGGAGGGCGAAACCATCCAACACAATCTTCCCCACTCATGGGTGGTGGCACACTCGACATACTACGAAATGCGGCGTGATGGCGGGAACCAATCCGTTCTTGTTTCAGGGGAGTCGGGCGCGGGAAAGACGGAGGCAGCAAAGATTGTCATGAAATATCTCGCCGCCGTCAGTGCGCTTAACTGCACCGAGGAGGAAAAAAAGACCGGGGCGTTTGTTGGACTACGCATGTTTCAATCTAACCCCATTTTGGAGGCATTTGGGAACGCCAAGACAGTGCGCAATGACAACAGCTCTCGCTTTGGGAAGCTTATGCGCATTAAGTTTAACCGAAAGGGATTGCTGACAGGGGCAGATGTGACAAAGTATTTACTGGAGAAATCACGCATTGTAACCTCAGCCCCGAATGAACGAGTTTACCACGCCTTTTATCTTCTTCTGCAAGGTCGGGATAGGGAGCGGTACGGTCTTGCCGAGCTCTCACGGTACCGTAACGTTATTGCCGGAAAGGCACCCACTATTGAGAACGTGGACGACGCAGAGGAATACGATTCCGTGAACAAGGCGATGGAAATTTGTGGCATTTCTCAAGTGAACGTGGACTCGGTGTGGCGTTGCGTAGGGGCCGTGATGTCGCTACTCAATGCGGAGTTTATTGCCACAAGTACCGACACATGTGCGATTGATTCAAAGACAAATCATTACATTGCGAATGGTTGTCGCCTACTCTCCATCTCTGAAGAGGAGCTAAAGAAGGAGTTAACGACGACCACGCTCATACTACCTGAGGGACCGGTACCTACCACACTCACAAAAGCTAAGGCAGATGACGCTAGGGATTCACTATGCAAAGCCCTCTACGATAACCTTTTTGACTTTCTTGTGAACGCCATTAACAAAACAATAGACACGGAAGACTACACAAGTTGGGTGGCATTGCTAGATATATTTGGATTTGAAGACTTTAAAGTAAATTCCTTTGAGCAGCTGTGTATCAATCTTACGAATGAAACGCTGCAGAGGCACTACAATTATTTTATTTTTTCACGGGATATGGATGAGTGTCGTCAGGAGGGAATTGATGTGACGACAGTTGTCTTCCCTGATAACAGTGAATGCGTGGAGTTGATTGGGGGCAAGGGTGGTATTCTTTCGATACTGGACGAAGACTGCCTCTTGGCGAAGGCAACGGATAACAGTTTTCTTGATAAGATAACTAACGCGTTTGCCGGCAAATGTCGTTTTTTTGAGAGACCACGTTTGGCCAAGGCGCCTTGTTTTCGGATTGTACATTACGCAGGGACGGTGACTTATGAGGTGGATGGCTTTATTGAAAAAAGCCGTGACACCCTTAAGGATAGCTTTAAAATACTGCTCAATACCAGTGGGGATGCTCTGGTTCAAACTTTATTTCCCATGCCAAACCCGGCAATTCGAGTGCGTTATACTGTCGGTGGTTTCTTTCGAAATCAATTGAAGGAACTTATGGTGGTGATAAACGCCACAAATCCACATTGGATCCGTTGCATCAAACCCCACCCTGCTAAGAAACCATTACATTTTGACGGTGTGCAAACATTAGCGCAACTACGTAGCTGTGGTGTGCTTGGTACTGTGCAGATTCGCAAGGCAGGGTATCCCATTCGTATTCCACATGTTGAGTTTGCAAGGAAAAACAAAGTTCTAGTACTCTCTGAGGCGCTGGACTTTAGCGACGCCGTGGGGGTGGCGCACGCTGTTTTGAAAAGCGTTGGATTTGACTCCCGAAAGGCACAAATAGGGAAGTCGCGTGTCTTCCTCAAGTCCGATGCATATCAGCAACTGGAGGTCGTGAAGAAGCAGCGTCTGCAGGTGTTTTTGAGGGTAGCAGTGGGTGGCGCTTTGGTGTCTTTGGCACGAATGCGCACCGCGGCTTTGCTTCGCCGTCGCTCGACGGAGATTGTTGAGGTCTTCCTCCTGTGGCGGAACAGTCAACAAATTTATCGCAAGAAGGAATACAGTTTTCGTAGGGAAGAAATTATTTCGAATGTTTTTCAACTATTAAAGTTGCAGAAAAATGAAATGGAGGCGAGAAATGCTTTTGTGGAGGAGCGCGAGAACTTCTACAATGATATTACGGCCAAGCGCAGTCGGCTTTTGGAGGAATTATACGAGCAGTGGCTTGCTGAGAAACCGCACCATGACGCTATGGCACTGGAGGCTTTCATTGCGGCTGAAGAATGTGCTCGAAAGAAGATGATTTCTGACGCATTGAATGAATTACGTCAAACACTTGTGCTTCTTGAGGAAGACTACGATGCCTCAAGGAGGCGTGAAGAGAAACGTCTGGCGACGGAATTCGCATTGGAGGCGGCGGCGCAACGAGAGGTGCAGAGACGTGAGGCAGAAAATGCTCGTCTAGAGGCGGAGAGACGCAAGGAGGAGGAACGTTGCCTTGCCATTGCGTTCTGGGATGAAAGAAAGAAGTCAATGGAGCAACAGGTGGCACGACGTGAAGCGGAACTGAGACGCCTGCGTGAAGGTGTTTTTGATGCCATGACGTCGTTGAATATTTCCCTGGCGCTTAAAAAACAGGAGCCTGTGCTCCAGGCACGACAGCGGGCTGAATATCCAACAGCACAATTTCGCTCCTGCGGTGTTGATCTGCTACGGGATCCCAGCTTGGGCTTGTGTGGATTGCAAGATGGCGTTACAGCATCACCCTTCAGCAGTGCCCATAACAGCGTCAAGAAGGCTCCGCTTCGCAGCTGCTCTCGACGGGAGAATATCACTAACGAAGATAACTTCAAACAAATGGATTCATTTAGTGAGAAGGTACGACTGGGAAAAGAACGTGTTTGCCCCGGTCGTACCGGATCACTGGATATTGTGCGTCGCCTTCGCCATCTTCAGGCAATGGGTGAAAAATCGTTTGTCACCAAACCTGGCGACCTGGAAGATTCATTGGATCCATATAGTCCGAATTGGAAACCACCCATAGACGGCGTTGTGAGGTTTCCAGACGGTTTTTCCTGCAATTTGAGAGAAGTCGCGTTGAACGGAATATCAAATCAAAATTCCGAGCGCTGTGACGGCAGCAGTGGGCGTGGTCGCTACTTATCGCAAAGTACGATGGACTTTGGTTTTTGACTGTTTTTTTTTTTTTTGTGTGTGTGTCTCTGTCTGTCTTTCTGTCTTTTTACCCTTTGCTTTTTTTTTTTTTTTTTTTTTTTTTTTTGGGAGGGAATTTGGGAAGGTTTGGATGTCGGGAAATGGGGAAAAGTACATATGCATGATGTTGGCTATGCTTTTGCTGGAGACAGTTATCGTTGTGGTGATTTTAATTTCTTTTCAGGGTCCTCATTCCTCTCAGTTATGCCGTGTAGTCTGTCCCGGTGGCATTTATTTATGGTTGAGCACAAAAAAAGAAAAAAAATAAAAAAAAAAATATATATATATTTTTTTTTTCTCCCTTTCTTTAAACTCATTTATCGTCGCAAACGGGTGTATCTCTTTCTTACCCCAATTGCTGTATTTCTTCTTTTTATTTATTCCTTTTTTTTTTTTTTTTTTAATTTTTTTTAATTTTATTTATTTATTTATTTATTTATTTTGCTTATTTATTATTTTGGTTGGGTGAATATACGACGATTTAGAAATTAAATGATACGAGCTAAACTGTGGCGTCAACTTTTAAAACTTTTGTTTTGTTGTTGTCGATTGGCTCTTTGCAGTTTGTGTCACGTGAAATGATTGTTGCATGTCGTGTTTGAATTATTATTATTATTATTATTATTATGGAGGGGGGCGCGTGTTGTTTTTCTTTTTTTTTTGTTGTGTGTTTGTTTTTGTTTGTTTGTTTGTTTGTTTTACCCGTTACTTTTTATTTTATTTATTTATATAAATTTTTTTTTTTTTTTATTAATTATTCTTATTTTTATTATTTGCTGGTTTTATGAGAAGCATTCGCCCTGTTGGCGACATTTACCGCCCAGATAGAAGAGCAGCACACGGAGTCCATCAAGGGATAAAAAGGGGAGAAGGAAAGAAAATAAAATAAAATCAAAAAAAAAGGGATAAAAGGAGTTCAACAAACTCACACACACAAAAAAAAAAAAAAAGAAAAGAAAGAAAGAAAGAAACAGAATGTATCTGTACATGCATCCCACGCGGTGGAGCCGGCAACCCCGTTTTTTGGGTGTGTTTCGCACCTTGCCGTTATTTACATCGTCAAGATTATTTGTAACGGGAAGGGCAAATACAATAACGTCTATTTCGCCGTCGTACTTTAATCCTGCAGGTGTGGGTGCGCTTCATCACAGCAAGCGGTTTGCATCCACAAAGCTGGCACGTATCTACACGATGGAACTCAACAAGGCCCGCAGTGACTACCGGCGCACGCCTACAAGGACGCAGCAGGAAGAGTGCCTTCGCAACGTCACGGGTACACCGTTGCATCTTATTCAGGGGCTCGATGGCAAAACAGTGGCACATTGTCTTTCTACCCTGGTTGTGCTGGAAGCCCCACGAGATTTGGCGTTGTTGCATGACTGTGCCGTTTGGCTTTCCGTTCACCCCGATTCATTTTCTCCGCACTCGTTCGCACAATCTCTGTATTCGCTTGTTTGCCTAGAGTACCCTGACACCGCCACCGTCGTGCGGTCTGTGCAGGACCGACTCCTGGCTGCCGCGAATGAAATGGCGCCGAGCAGTCTCTGTATGATTCTTGCCTCCGTGCTGACTGCAACTGCCGGTGCCGATTGTGTCACACAGGGTCCTGTTGATTTGTCAAATAAGCTTTCTGATCGTCTGTTGCGTGTCGTGAATGATGGTTTGGGATTAACAGAGAAGGTGATGATTGCGGTTGCTCTCGGTAAACTTTCAGGGCAAGCGTCGACAAGTAGCGTTCTCTCTAGCCATGTCGTATCGCAGCTCTCTGCTGCCGTGTGGGTCAGCATCCCTGGTGCCGAGTTGGCAGTTGTCTCACTAGCGGATCTCGTTGGGCTTCTTTCCGCCGCGCACACCGCGCCAAACTCCATTCGGGAAGTCGTCGAAAGGGCACTTCTTGACGAGCTTAAGGTTCGTGTAGAAAAGGAACCACTGGTTTCCGCAAGGAGTGCCATTCTCATGGCACGTGCCCTCAAGCTTTTTTTGAAGAATGAGAATCCTTCTGCCAAACCATTGTGTGGTAAAATGCAGGTTGCCATTGAGGCTTACATTGGCAGTGAGGCAGCCACGCTTGATACCGCAACAAAGTTGCTTACAGAGCTTGTGGATATGGAAGAAGGACCCTTTGACTCGATCCCGTCTTCTTTACTGCGGTATTTGGTGAAAGCCATCAACGAAAGGCGGGAAAAGTGGAGCGCGGAATCGGTACATGTGGTATTGAGGATTTTTAACAAGATAGACCTGTTTCGCGCCGACGCCCAAGCTCTTGCCACACAGTGCGTTGACTTTATTCAGGCAAAATTTACTACCGGTGCACCGGTGGATGCGGGCGAAGTTGCGGCACTTCTTGTGGAGGGTATTGTGGATCCTCATGCGGAGGTTTTGGCCTCGGTAGTTGCCGGCAACATTAGCAGATGGAGTGTTCCAAGTGTCTTGACATTTTTGCGTGCTGCCTCTGAAGTAAGCGGAAAGCCAACACGGGCCATCATGCGTGATGTGGCATCGAAACTTGTCCCGTACATTGAAAAAGCGACGGCCGCTCAGGTTGCAGCGGTGATTTCATCATTTGGGCGGGCCCGTGTGCGCAACGATGTTTTTTGTGCTGCCATCACGAATCGAGCTACAGCGTTGTCGTCTGAGCTGACGCTGCATCAAGTGAGCACCATTCTTGGAGGTCTTGCATCTGTTGAGTACCGTGACACCAAATTGTTTGTGGACTTGGCACCCCTGGTTATAGCACAAGCCCCCACTGCCGATGCCACACTAACTGCCAACTTATTGGCGGCCTATTCAAAGATGCTCATATGGAATTTTAGGGTAATTTGGTCGCTTGCTGAGCGTGCCGTGGTGATCTATGAGCAGTTTTCCATACCGCAAACACTGGCTGTAGTGATGTCATTGAACCGAATGGACGTTCAACACCAAGATTTAATGAATGCCCTGTTACAACAAGTGATGCGTCACGCATCAGACAACGCAAAGCTCTCGCTGACCGAGACGGTTATGATATTAAGTGCCTTCTCACGAAGCGGGGTATGGGATGCTGTGTTTTTTGAGAATCTTGGAAAAAGAATTGTAAAGGACCAACAACAACTCACACCTGATGAACTTGCAGAGACACTAATGTCTTTTGCACGGGTTGGTCTTACGCAGTACAACATTTTTGAAGAGCTTACATTGCGTGCACTTGCTATGGCTCCCGCTAGTCCGCTTATGCCGTTGGCACATATAGCTGTGGCGTACGCTATTGTGGGCTGTCGCCATGAGGAACTGTTTTCGATCATTGCGGATCGTTTTGTGAACCAAAAGGCAGATGTACCGGCAGTCACCATCGCGTCTTTACTCAGTGCCTTTGCCTCTATTGGTATTCGTAACGACCGACTCTTTATTGAGTCCATTCCACGTGTGCGTCATGTGGGGCAGTACGGTACACCGAAAGACATCACAAATGTGGTCTACGCCTATGCGAAGGTTGGTTTGTGGCACTACAAATTGTTTGTGCGATTAGCAGATCGTGCCATTCAATTGCGTGGCGAATTCCGTTGTGACCACGTTGCACGTTTGCTTGAGGCGTATGCACGTGTGGAAATGCGGTATGAAAAGCTCTTTGTGGAGTTTTCTCCACGTATCCAGACCATTGCTCACCTTCTTACAGCTGGCGAGGTGACAAAAATCGTTTCTGCCTACGCAAAGGTGCGTATACCTGATGTGGGAGTCTTTAATGCCTGCGGTGATCGTGCAGTGACGGTGGTGGATACATTTGAGTTGGATGAGGCGCAACAGGTTCTTACTGCTTTCCGAAAGACACGGAACAACCATGATGGTTTGATGGCATCGTTTACAAAGAGGTTCCCGGAGGCTGTGGCGGCACTTCCGCCAATGGAGGAAGAAGAGGTGGTGGAGGATACAGCGACATTTGCCGCGTCCACCGCTGCCAGCGCGCAGGAAAAAGAGAATGAAGTTGAGGGAGAGGGCGTCGGTGTTGTTGGCGCGTAAGGAAAGGTCGTATGGTGGTAGCGAATTCATTTTTTTTTTTTTTTATGTTGTTTGTGTGTGTGTAGGTCTCTTGTCACATTTAATGATTTTATTTTCTCTTTAACTTCCGCTGCTGCTGTTTCTGTCGGTTGTGATGGCGAGAAGAAGAAGAAGAAGGGGAGGGGAAGGATGTGGAGGGGTGCGCGGATCCACTGGGTGCGATAATGTGAGCATTGATCCGATGATTCCTTTTTTGCTTTGTTTGCACTCTCTGCTGTGGAAGGAAGGAAAATGAAGAGAAAAGGAGGAGGCGCCTTCACCTTCACCCGCATTTTAGAAGCGACTCCTTTGTCCCTTGCCCGATTTTTTTTTTTTATTTTTTATTTTTGTTGTTGTTCGATGAAATCCTTTTACTTTTTGTTCTTGTCGTTGTTTTTCTTAATTGAACGGTGGGCTAATTGTAAACTCTTCTCACTGACGCATCTCTCTTCCTTTCGCATCTTTTACTCACACAAATGGACCCTCTCCATTGCCCTCTTGCTCTTGCTGGTGCTGCTGCTGTTTTTTTTTCTGCGTGTACGGCTACCGCAGTGGCTCGAAGCGTGAAGTGCGCCAGAAATCCAGATGGAGAGCAGCTCCCATAGAAAGTTAATGGCAAAGCAGAGGCGCCCTGCAGCGGTGGCTCGGTTCCTAAACATGTTTTCGTTGGAAGATCGTCATGCGGCTACAAATACGTTGCTTCTTCTTGGACTGCGAGCATACAAACAGGCTGTCGCGACCGCGCCGGCCGATCTACACACCCTGCGCTCTGTTGTGGAAATGTCGTTTGTAGAGGAGGATGGCGCGGCGGCCGGTCGTGAGACGGAGAAATTGAAAGTGAATAATAGTAGGGACAAGGTGAACGATGCAAATAACATGTGCAATACGCATTCCTTTGATGGTGTTAAAAAGGCGACTTCTGCCTTACCTCATAGCGGCTTAACGCCATCGCTAGCGTCATTACCTGCTGAAGAAGGAGCCGCGAAGGGAACAGGTGAGGCGCAAACATTCGGTCTTAACAACAGTGGTGTTTCTTTTGCCAGGCTGGCGCAAAGAGCAGAAACACCAATGCCGAAGCTAGAAACAGGCTCTGCGGATATTCAAGGGAGTTTCAACACTGGGTACCCGTGCCCAACGAGTTTTAATGACTGCGGCTTTAGCTGTAGCTGCAGCAGTAGTAGCTGCGGGTGTGTAAGCAATGCGCACAAAAGATTATCGTCTCAGTCTCCGGCCTTAAGTTTTATATTGAACGAGGCCTTGGGAAATGCGTTGAAGAAACGCATTAGGTCCAATCATGCAGGGGAGCCAATGGACAGCTCTGCAGTTGGAGTCGCAACCGTCTGTCCAGAAGACGATAAGTTAACCAATCACGATTCCATTTTCTGCAATGTTAGCGAGGGGGCTAGTGAAGAACAAAGTCATGCAGTGGATCCCACGGTGTATGTCTCTTTGAATAGCACAGTTGTTCCTTCTTCATGTTGTGATTATCATTATTACCCCCTGAGGTTTCTCCAGCATGTCATGAAACGCATTGAGGACACCCGGGGAGTGCGAGAGAATCCTGTTCTTGTCGCGTCTTCTATCCCACAGTCTGTGGCTTTCTACACGCTTCATGCAAGCTTTGAAAACCTTTATAGAAGTTTGCTGGTATCTTACCATCTCTCCTTTAAGAAGGGCAAGAGCTCGTTTCAGCAGCAAGAGAAATTAAATTTGGCATTTACGTAACCCATTCTGTGTCTTTTTTTTTTTTTTTTTCCTTAATGGTCCTCTTTTATTATTATTATTATTATTATTATTATTATTATTTCAATGCTCACAATTTTATCCGCTCCTGAGAAGAAGAAATAAGAGTAAATTGAGTAAACTATTTTTTCCTGGCGGCGGCGTTATGTTTACAATGGGTTTCTCTTCCTATTGTTTTTTTTTTTTTTTTTTCACAACTTAGGCGTATATTCATTTGCAAAGGCAATACAACAATCATAATCGTTTGTCTGGTGAAATATGGCTGAGGGTAGTGCGCTATTAAGAGGATCCAGCAACCACAAGGTAACGCTTGTCACTGGCAACGATGGAAAGCGTCGGGAGGTGCAAGCATGTCTTGAAGGGCACGTGCTTGTCGAAAATGTCAATTTGGATCTACCTGAGATGCAAAGTGACTCGGTCTTTGAGATTAGCCGAAATAAAGCCCTCATGGCATATGACATTACCAAGAGTCCAGTGCTTGTGGAAGATACTGCACTTTGTTTTGACGCACTGGGAGGCCTACCAGGCCCGTATGTGAAGTGGTTTTTTGAACGCATCGGTCCTACGGGGCTTATCAAACTTCTTGAGGGATTTGACACTCGGCGGGCGTATGCTACGTGCGTCTTTACGTACTGCGCGAGCCCGGATGTGGTGCTGCAGTTTGAGGGACGATGCGACGGCAGGATTGTAGAGGCGCCTCGCGGGGAGGGTGGATTTGGCTGGGACTCGGTCTTTGAGCCGGATGAGGGCTGTGGGCAAACTTTTGCAGAAATGCAGGATGAAGAGAAGAACCGGATTTCACCGCGTGCGAAGGCCCTTGTGGCGCTGAAAGCACATTTTTGTCTCTAAACTCTTTTTTTTTTTTTTTTTTTAGTGCGTGTACCTCTGGATTGTCTTTGCTGTCATTATTATTATTATTATTTCTTTCTTTTTTTGTTCTTGTTGTTGTTGTTTATCTATAAAATAATTTTATGCGCATTCTTTTTTTTTTTTTTTTTCTTCTCTTTAATGTGTGTTTATGCGGTTTTTTTTTTTTTTGGGGTAATATTCCTCTACTCAAAGAGCACCCAAACGTTCCATTTGCAAATAAAATAAAAAGTGAAATTGAAATGCATCTGTGCGTCCGCATGCGGTGTGCTCTGAGGAGTCTCTTCATTCTAAGCCTTTTTTTGGTACTTGCGACTGCGAAAGTTTTCGCGGAACGACTTATGGCCGGGTGGGATCCATTCGCAGTGGCGGAAGAAGAGGGGTTATTGAAACAATTAAACAGCCTGCCGCAGTTTAACGCCAAAAGCTGGTTGAAGGAAGGTGCCTCTTCCCGTGGCGGCAAACCGACTGTTCCCGTCAATACGCAGGTTGTTGTTAATGTGCCGACAGCCACTGGGGAGCGACGATTTGTGCTCTATGTTCCCGATTCTTACATGCAAAACGGCAATTCAACGGCCGCGCTTCAACTTTACTTTCATGGCCTAAATGACCAGTGCGACAGGTTTTTGAATGCCATAAATGTCATTGAGCACGCGAAGAAAACAGGATTTGTACTGGCAAGTCTCTGCGGCTCCGAGGGAGCTATCGGGACCGCGTGGAACGCCGGTACCTGCTGCGGCTTCTTCTCGGAGAAGCAACCCGACGACTTTGACTTTGCCGAGAAAGTTGTAGAGTCTGTTTCATCCAGTTTGGGTGTTCATTTCACAAGAGTGATGGCTGTTGGCTTCAGCAATG